CTTGTGGCTTTCTGTTCAAGCCCATCTTGAGCCAAATACGATTACCGGGTTCATTAACCCTTCCAACTTCCAACACTAACTCCTTTCTACAATACCACTTGCAGCTCCGCACTCCCCCTGTCCTAGGATTTCCTAGGACACATTGGAGATGCAGATCTTTTGGCCAAAAACTGCCATTACGGCAGCAGCCAGCTGCTTGAAATGCAAATTGTGGTTTAACGTCTTCCATGACGGAATTATAGCACATTGGCTAACCTACTACCCATAGAGAATCTTTTTTCACCTTGATCCTCTCATCACTGAAGACTCCTTGGCCTTCTCCACCACAAACCGTGGTCTTCGCTACGCGAAAAGCTACTGACTCCTACTATCAGGGATTTCCATACCCTTAATAGTAACCACCACATTGTCAGCACATTGGCTGTTCCAGCGCACCGGTCTCCAGAAAGAGAAAAACCATCCCTTCATCCATACCATCCAATCACTTCTTTTTCCGATTGTTGGCAATCTTGAGGTGAAGTTGCAGCAGAATATACTCCAGGTCCGAAATCGTAAGAATAGGATCCTGTATGCCCCTTTGAATTGAGGATACCAATCCTTCTCTCTTCGCATCCTCAATCGCCTGGCAAGATTGATCCAGCTCTTCATTCGCATTGGCAGACCCTGGTGCCTCCGCATCGGATGGACGATCCTTTTCCTCAGGATCTTGCACCATTACCACCTCTTCTTTTTTGGGACTCTGACTTTTCTCCTTCTTCTTTGTCTTTCCACCGACATTTGACTTTGTGCGCGTCTTCGAGGATTTTTCCACTGCAGAAGCCACCACATTGGATGTTGATCCACCCTTCTCAATGATCGTCGGCATCTTCTTCGGCTTTGGAACCATGAGAGTGTAAGGATCTTCGATAGCTGCAGCTTTCCTCTTCTTTTTTACCTTTTTCTTCTCCTCCTCAACGGCAACCTCCGTCTCCGAAGTCTCAACCACTTCTTTTTCGGCAGGAATATCTTTGCTGGACTCCCCTTCTAGGGACCTCTTTTTCCCTTTTTTGGGATCCTTTTCTTCTCCCAAATTGGCTCGCTCATACCATATCCTCAGGTCATTGACCCATTCTTCCACCTCCGCGAGCGAAACATCATACGACTTCACTACTTCGAGAAGTTCCAGCACTGACAACATTTCAGTGGTCCACGAAACCCATACTTGATCCATTTGGTCAGCATCTCCAGTGAACTTCAGGAGTTTGAACAATGGGTCCGCCTCTGCTCGAGCCAAATCTGGCTTGCCACCGGAGAGAAATGAAATCGCCTCCATCAACAGTTCCGTCATCTTGGTCTCTTCGTCATAAACCATAAAATCCTCCTCATCATCATCGAACTGTTCAGGAGGGATCTCCTTTTCTCCACCATTTGCACCAGACTTTCTCCTTGGACCATCCCTTGGGGGCGTCCTTGGAGACCTTGGCCTCTGTTTTTCCAACGGAACACCATGCTCGAAGACACACCTGTCACCAAATCGACACTTCCCAGACCGAGCAAACTGGACGCACCTCACACCAGTTGCATCATGCGAGAACCCACAATCCTTTCCAGCGAAACATTCTCTCCCTGCCACATAGTATTTGCACCAATATGAATGTAGCACCACATCATCTTCGGAATGGATGAATTTGCAGTCGTCACCAAATTTGCAGCGATCTTTCCCTTTGCCAAACCAATAGCAGAAACCCTTCTTCCTCTTCTCCAAGCGCTCTGCCTCATACCGGTCCATAGGGCGACTGTGCTCTACATGAACATTGCCATGTACCTGGGGACTGCTCCCTTCACCCGACGTGCTATCAGTATTTGGTGCTTGGAGTACAGCTGGAAAACCTGGCCTTGGTCCTACCACCTTCATGATCGGTTTTCCGCCAACTCCTGAGCCATGCTGAGACGATCCAAAAACATTGAACATCTTCATGAAGGCCTTCCTAGCGCCAATCTTCTGCGCCCTTTTGATTGGACGTTTCATTGCTCCAACCTTGCATCCAGATGCATTCAAACGACGCAACCTTCTAAACCCCACTCTATGTCCCTTCTTCCAAAGAGCCATAAGAATTTTAGAGGCAGTGACATTCTCCACCTCTACCTTTTCCAATGATCCCTCACTTCCCGGAACAAACCCATCCATCTCTGAAGACCTTTCCATCTTTTTAGACACCACTTCGTCAAGGTAGTCTTCTGAAATCCAGGGAAAGTTTCCTTAGAGGAAGGATTGTCATCATTGTTTGGTCCTTCACCAGGATATCCTTTGGTGCTGTCAAAGATCTTACCAGTAGCGCGGTCCTGCATAGAGAAATTCGAAGCCACGCGGGAGTACACTGACCACAAGAAAATCCTTGTGTCCGCCAGTCTGGATGACCCACTGGATTTCTCCTCTTCCGGAGAAACTTCTGGCGCTTTGCCCTTCCCTCCAGTGTCACCGCTTGTCTCACCTCCAGCATCTTCAATGGGAATAAGGGATTCATTGTTCCCTTGATCAAGCACCGCATCCTCTAGTCCAAGAACTTCCAGCATCGCTGTCGAAGGATCCACCTCCTCATCCGCATCGTCGTCCATCCTTCTCCAGAGAGCCTCCAATTGGTCCGCACAAGTCGCCGCTTGAAGAAACTCCATCAACCGAGCCCTCCCGCGCTGCCAGAGAAATTCTGAAACCATCACCGACCCTTGTGCTCCCAGATTCAGGAATGGGTGAACCATTTTGGCTACCCTCGCCATAAGTTCAATATGAACTTCCATGCCTGGACTGCGGCTCCAATCATAGGCAATTGCCTCCATAGCAGTACCAAACTTGTCCGTATTCTTGAATTCCCCTTCCAGACCAGGAGACAACAAGGTACCCATCACCGAAAGAGGGTAATTCCCCACCGCCGGCAAGCACGGGTTGTCATGGAACGAATGATGCAGGTCAGTATAATGTCCTTGATCTCTCCTTTGAAAAAGGAGTGTTCCAGTCCCTAGCTGGGCATTCATTTCATCCACTTGAACCATTTCAGCACATATCCTCTGTGCCAGGTGCGCCATTGCTGGCCAGACGGTACGATCGGTCAGACCGCGACGCATAACCCAATCAGTTGTTGGCGACTGGATCAGCGTTCCTGGATCATACACCATAACCATTGCACCGTCTCCCATTGACTGATCAGCATCGTCCTCCAGTGCCAGGTTCTCATCCTGTTCGCTTGCACCCTCGGATGACATGCTAATAACCAAATTTCGATCCATCTTATTGGACCCTTTTTGGCAATCTCTTTGCCCCATTGGCAACTTGCCAACTGCAA